TCAGCCAAAGGACATGCTTTACAGGTGGGTCACTTGTGTTTGGTTTCTCGTGAGGTTCAACTGTGCACGTAATTCATTTGAACATTGATAGCCGTCGATAGGGTTGAAGTGAACGCAGGCCGTTGAGCCAAATGAGGGGATCTCTGCACGTCCATGTGGATGCATCATGTCATTAACCAGTTCCCCATGGGTCCCCTTTTTCATGTTTTCTTGCGTTCTCCTTCTCGCAGGTAGGTTTGGCCCTTTGCGTGCTGAGGTTGATGTAGGTTTTCGCCGTGTCAGGTTGGTTCAGGCGCTTCTGTCTTCCCCCTCCTCCGCTGGTCTTGTCCCCTTTTACGTCGCCTCCGGTTTTGTTTTCCCTTGCTTTCCAGGGTTGCCCGTTTGGGCTGGGTTTCATGTGCTTGGTGTGGCTCCTTCCTTCTTCTTTTGCGTTCCCCTCTTTGCGTCCTGGTTAAGTAACTTTCATCTTCCTTGTCTTCACTTCCCTTCCTCTTCATTTTCATTTCATTGTCGGGGCCTTAATTTCCCACCCTCCTGCGGGAGGGTGTGTGTGTGTGTGAACCATCTGTAAAGATGTAAAACTTCTAATTATGGAGGGGGCGACAGGGTCAAGGCATGGCTGTCGCCAACGAAGCTCCATGCAGTTGACTAGGATATGGATCTGATCAACTCCACGTACCTGCTTCACTTCTTCATTATGGGACGAATGCTAACCCAAGAACCACCTAGCCGCTTTCCAACAATCTGTTTACTTTCCTGTTTGCACGTTTTCGCAATCTGATTTACTGCTGACATCGTCAGATGAACAGTTGCATCTAGCAAGGACGTAGAAAGAATTCTTCTTCACTGTTTCTCACGCCTAGTCCTAGTCATTCACTATCTCCTGTCAGGTTTAACTGAAGTGTTTTTGCACCTACGATGCGTTCCACATCAGTAATTCGATAAGATGTTTCTGAGCAAGTGTGTGGGCAGGTCGCGCAAGCCAGAGAGAGAGAGAGATAGAAGAGCTCTACTGGCTCTTATTGACCGCTTTCCGTAAACTGGGTATTCCATTGTTATCTGCCTGACTTTTTTGTGTGTCAACGAATTCTCCCGAACAGAGTGTCGATGAGAAGATTGTAGATGTTATCTACTGGACATATAACTCGGCAGATCTACCATATTCGGAGAAATGTTCCATCCATATAGCTGTTTCCAAGGGACGAGCTGCAAGGAGCTGCGATGACTGCGATGTCTGTCAGGTTGGTCATTCCTGAGATTGGAGCGTATCACTGCGGTGGTTACCGTACGGTCGAGAGGTCTACACCTTTGGGGTGATTCGGTGCCCAATATGTTTCGACGCAAAGCTGAGTGACCGAATGTGTTTTTGAATTTGGTCGCACAAGTTCGAAAGGGGGTGTGAAAAATCATCTCCGGTAAAGCTAGTGTAGCGATCTTGTGCCAGAACTTGGGTAGTTGTTAGGTGTTTTGGTAATTAGTTGTAGGTTGTGGACCTTTGGTAGTTTGGACTTTATCTTTAGTTAGCAGGCGATTCTGGTGTAGTTAGTTGATTTCATCTCTTTTGTCACAAAGAGTTGTGACGTAGTTGCATTTTTCGTTTGTAGTTAACTGTTTTCAGGTTTCTGCACAAAACCATTTTGCACGAAACCAATCGAAGGTTTTTAGGAACCAAGAAGCCTGTTTGACACGTTTTTCGATTGGTAGAATCATTTTTGCACGGCTAGGTTTGTAGAGTTCTTGGAATTTCTTCAACTGGACTGGAATCCAGTTTGCTCATCCCACAGAAACTCACTCATTTCTGTGTTCTGAACTGTGTTGGTCAACGTGAACGTTGGCTCAAGCCTGCGAGAGCGAAAAGTGTGTGAGTGTGTCACCATGAGACGGCCTGGGAGAGTCGGAGACCGCAGAAACGCAAAACTCTCACTTTTCGTTTTGTTTTGGTTTGGGTTTACTCTGAGCAGGAGAGGTTTGAAAGCGGTTTTCGCGATCTAGCTTTGTGTGTCAAAGTATTACGGAAAAATTCGCAGCAATTGCAACCTAAGTGTTAAGTGTCAGCATGTTCCGGACCATGTTCACTTACATTAGTTACAGTCAGACAGTGAAAAGTCCGAAACGAGTTCACAAACTGATCAACATCGTCCAACAATGTCCACGTGTCACACAAGACAAACCTAGACATGGGTTTGTACCACTAAGAGTTGAACGTGGTTCGTTGGGCCATTTGTACCACTAAGGGGTCTGACCCCCCAATGAGCGTGAAAGATCGTGAAAATTGAAAATTTCAAATTCAATGTGCACGCGTGGCTTTCTAATTTATAGTGATGACGCCTTCAAAGGGATATATGCCCCTTGTCTGGCATCTTATGCCCAAAACTCGAAAGAAACGCTAAGTGCGAAGTCCTTACCATGCTGCTAGGTACACATATATATGTGAAAGGAAGTGTCTCAACAAACCACATTCTGTATACTGAATTTTACCTTGGAAGGGTTGGTCTACGAAGATATTATTTAGTCCCTGGGCATGACATCCACATTATTTTCTGGGTGTATATCAGATAATCCAATGTTGGTAAAACAAACTGTACCATGAAAGGTCATGTTGATTTCAACCACCATTCTAAATATATATATATATATAATATTATATATATATATGTTTATATATATTATATTATATATATATTTTTAATATTATATATATATTATATTATATATATATATTATGTATATATATATACTATATTATATATATTATGTTGTATTATATCTTGTAGATGTATTTTATATTTAATAATAAATAAATAAATAAATAAATATAAATATAAATATAAATATATATATATATAGATAAAGTTCCTAGAATTAGCACCCCCTAAATTAACGGGTCTTATAATGCCAGCACAGGGTCCAAAACTTGTCGCGCCTTGCCCTTTTTCGAGTTGATGCGAAGCTGCATCCATGCACGGCGAGTGCATGATCAAACTTGGCATGAAAGCACGTGTGCAATTTATATGTACATGTCCATGATATAGCTATGATTTGTCCTGGAAACATCATGAATATGGCAAATTGAGAGTTTTATAGTAGAGTGAACATCCAATATTTAACGGAATATGTACTAAAATGATTCCCGTTCGATCATCAAATTTTTGTGTATATATATTATATATATACCAATGTAGACCTGCATCGGTCGATGGCTGCACCTCTGGCAGATCTTCCAGGCGCATGCTGCTGCTGCTGCAATGGGGTTTTGGTGTTGCAGGGATATGGGAAATAATTTTCCCTTCTTTATGCATGTTGCATATAGGGAAATCATATATATATATTTACTATATAGGTGCATGGCATATTTCCTGGTAGGAGCTTGATAGATATATAATCATGCAGATTCATCCAACAACATCTTTTTTTCAATGGCACAACCATCCAATGCATAAATAAATATGAATGTAAATACCCGGTATATATGTGTATATATACCTCTGTCTATCGATCTATCGATCTCTATTGATCTCTATCGATCTCTATCGATCTATCTATCTATCTATCTATCGATCCATCCATCCATCCATCCATCCATCTATATATCTATCTATCTATTATCGATACATACTGTAAACTGGGGTATCATTCATAGGTTTTATTCGGATCCAGTGCACCTTGCAGCATGCATTTGCCGCGGGCTCAGAAGATCGAAGGCTTGGTACCTGGTACGTGCCATGGGTGATGAGAATAAGGATGACGAGGGTGACTACCAGGGTGACTACCCGGAGCCTTAGCATCAATAGATTCCAATAGTTTCCACCATTTATCACATGTAAATACCTGAAAGACTTGGAATTGCAGGTGATCATCATGACTCTGGGAAATATCCTCATGATCTAAGGACAAAGCATGGGCGTTGGAGCGACCAAAGAGTCCCATTGGGAAGCCTAGTTATAAGCTAGCTGGCGTACCTGGACGAATCCCCCGCGATAGAGATGGAGCATCTTGGCATTAGGCAAATCGAAATATGTGTTCAGTGAATTAAGTGAAGGTTTTTTTTCAATTTTTGTGTACTGTCATCTAAGGACTTCCGACCCGGGCCATACCATACACCACCGCGTACAGTGGGCGAAGGGAGTCGCGCGACCACAATCCCAGAGGCGTTCCGCTTCATGCACCATGGGAAAAGTCTGCCAACAGGCAGAGTCAGATGCTTGGTTCGTTTTCTAGTACTGTTATGATGTGTCATCATTTTTTGGAAAAGAAATACTAGATGAAATCACCATTATATATCCCTAATCCTTAATTGCGGGTTCTTTTCCCATAGTGGTATCATCTCTAAGATTTATCGTTGCATTCACCTTCAATCAGAATCAGAAAATACTGTATAATATATTTATATATAAATATGTATGTATGTATGTATGTATGTATGTATGTATGTATGTATGTATGTACGTATGTACATAAAAATACAATTTGTCAAGGAAACTGACAATTTCTATTTTCGAATTTCTGATTCTTCCAGGACGTCGGATGGCCGGTGAGGGCACCGAACCGCGATTGGCACTCGATGTGGAGGAATTTCCACCTGAACCACGGGATTCTGATGTAGAGCTGGTGGATGTGGAGAACGGTCCCTTAATAGCATTAGTTGTTGAAAGGTGAATTTGTGTTTGCTTATAGTTTACATACATGTGCATCTGGAATATAGATTGTCAAATTTACATTTAACTGGCACGCCGAGATGACGCCATATACTTCCCGGATGAGCCGCTGAGCGTTGAGGATCGCTGTATGATTCATTTAGGTTTCTTGAATGCACCATATGTGGTCTTGCATGCATGCAGTGACTCATGATGAGGTACCCATCCTATGTACGTCCTCCGATCCCAGTACAAGAAGGAGTGTGCCTTGATTGCTTATATTTTAGTAAGTGGGACATCCTGATATTGATGTATGGTGTGGCTTGATGTGGTGAATTTTTCTCAATACCTGATGCTTGAGGCCAGGATTCCTTCAATCGAGGTCTGCAGGTGAAAGCTCAGCGTGACTTCACCACGGCAGTTGGGCGGATCATGGTTTCTTGGAAGTCTTGGATGCAACATAATATGGAATATCAAGATGAGTAATGCAAGCTTCATGTACATGCCGTGTATACTTAGCTAATGTATGCTTCTTACAAATTTGCCTTGGTCTAAGGTTCACAACATCACGGCGTTGCAGGAAGAAATTCAATCGCAGCTCGACCTGCTTGACGCAATGCAGTCAGCAGCACGTAGCCTGCAGGCGGGAATCAGTCAGGCAGGAAGGCCCTCAACGGCTGAACGTGACGTTTTGGAGCGCCCTGGATCCGAAGAGGAATGAAATTGAAAAAAATATGTATATATATATATATATATATATGTGCGTGTGTAACTCACTACAATATAGATACATTTAAAAATATCACAAATAGCATCATTTGTACATATGTGGATCCTGGGTTCGTAGCCTATGCGGAATGATCCTGAAGGTTTCAATCTGGGTGAACCCATGGATGGAGTCGCTGGAAGTCTCATTGCATTTGTTTCAACAATTTGGAACTCAAGATGTTGGACTCCATCCACGTACGTGCAAATGGATCATATGTGACAGGTCTGAGTTTAAAGCAATGGAGTGAGCTGCTATAGCTGTCAGCGTGATGTGAAAAAAGGGAAAATTGGTACTCTCAGCACTTTCAAACTGCTGAATCACTGCCCAATTTGTCAAGTTGATTTGCTGATATGATCTTTTTTGTGGAGGTGCATACTTGATGTTCCTTGATACCTCATGATCGAGCTCGACCTTTGGCATGGGCCTCAATCACTGTTTTGGTGTCATTAAATTCCATTCCCACCCAACCCAAGCATTCAATCCCACCACATGCAAAGCCTCTCGGGATCCATGCGCTCCCATGCGCTCCAGTCTAACTCCATTCTCACCTGCTCATCCGTGCTCATGCCACTCTCATGCAACATGTGACATGCCCTAGCCGTATTGAGGCCGGACCCAGGAGCTGTATGCTTTACAGTGTGGTAGCGTTGGTTGCTCAGGAAATGGGCAGCCATTGGTATGTTTACAGAATTTTACAGATATACGTACAAGAATGTTTCAATATATTTATCTAATTGCATCTATCTTTATCAGTCATATAAGTAGCGGCATGTCAGACCATGTAATCCCGTTGATTTTTTTTAAAGCGCCACGCTGATACCCGATCCCTTCGCTGATCCCTGCCCGGCCTCAGGCTTGGATGGCGCTGTGGGAACTCCGAGACAATGCAACAGGTGCCTTCAGCCCCCCCGTGCTTGAAGGGAAACTGATATGAGAAAGATGACCCAACTTCTTTTCAGGGTGTGTCGCATGACTCATATTTCAATATACACGGCATTTGATTCCGAATTATGGCTTACTGCATGTGGCACATATCATCACTTGTGTGCATGCATAAATATCATATGCGTGGCATGAAGTCATGAAGAAGATGTTTGCAGCATTTTCTGAAGACCTAGTGACTGGCATGCACGTGTCAGAAATGAATAAGCCGATGCGGCTTTGAAGAACCATCAGCCTGCAAACATGGGGAACTGGTTCACTTGTGGAGAATATATATTTATATACAGTGTTGTCAAATGCGCATATATATATATATATATATACAGCACTGTCAAATGCACACACACACACATATATATATATATATCATTCATTGCACATATCTCAAACCAACAGCATGCCCATTCCAGCCATGGACCCTGAACTTATTGGTGCCTTCGCAACGGAGTTTGCTCAGTATCCCAACCTGAAGCAGAATGGATTCAGCTTCTTGGTGGACATCAGCGGGAAGTTGTTCAAAAAGGGCGCAGTCCCATTGAAGGACGTGGAGGGAAACATAGAGGCATGGGGTTTGAAATCGCGCGATCCAAACATGTTGCAGCATGCTGCAGTTCAAACAGACCTATACATGCATGTGAAACCACACCCGATTGATAAGCTTGAAGTTCCTGGCCTTCGCAAGGCCGTGGGCAGCGTGATGAGGGTGACGCGAGGAGTCGGGAGGTTTTCCGCTCACCTGCTCGCAGCTTCGTTGGTGAACTTCTTTGAGGTCCAAAAGATTTTTCCGCAAGGAATCACCCAGGATATGGACTGCATAGCTGACTGGTCCTTACGCATGGGGAAGGCATTGCAGCGTTTGGTCCCTTAGCCAAAATTCAATATTCCAAAAGTTTGGAAATGTTTGGAACTAACTTCTGATAGAATATGCCTCAACCAGTTTATGAATCCAGCAGATGATTAAACCATATCTCTTAAAAAGAAGGGGTGATTATATAATTTGATGTGAAGTCTTTTTCAATTAAGGGTCTATTATACCGGCCAATCAATGCCGATATCAGGTTAGCCGGTTTCGGCGGCTTTATCAGCGGGCCAATGGTGCAAAGCTCCCCAAGACCCGGCAGCTGAAAGAAGAACTCCGTGAACAGATTGGGGCTTCTAAACTCAAATATATTGCATGGGGCATGTTTGAGCAAATCTGAACAGTCGAACAATTAAGTTTTAAGATGTTTCAATCTCATTTTCAATTTCGCTCTGAGATCAGAATCACACCTAAGGATTTGGGACAACATCCTGATGATGAGGATGATGTTGAGGAACATGGTGGGGCTTCTGTCGAGACCCTCTCCGAGCTGGGCTCCCAAGCTGGTTCGATGGCTTCTGTGGTCACACCTCAGACGAGGGGTGACAAGAAGCTGCTCCGTTTGTCCCTTCAGCATTCCACATGGTCAAGTCATTCGTCATCCAGCCAAACTTCGTCATGTTCCAAGAGTACCAGGAGTGCAAAGGAGTTGAATGACTTAGCTGCTGAACTCAAAAAGGCCATGCTTAAGACCAGTGAGACTCCTGAGAAGATTGAGAAGCCTCCCAGAAAAGAATCATCTGGTCTGCCTGTCCATGCATCTTGGTTATCAAGGTTTAGGTCAAATATTTTACTGTATAGGCCCTAGTTGGCTAAATAAAACGACACGTGTTTTCTTTGCAATATGGTCGAGTCCATGTTTGAAAGGTGCTGCAATACTTGAAAGATTCGCTTGCTGCACCGCCTCCGACTCCATTTGCCCAGAGTGCCCAGTACAAGAAGACCTTCGATGCGAAGGATGATGATGATGATGGTGAGCTGGCTGAGGCCCCGGCGAAAAAGAACACAAAGAAGAAGAAGAAGACGCGCAAAGGCAAAAAGCCTGGTCCTGCACAAGTCCAACGTGCAAAAAAGAAACAGAGTGACCAGGCCGTTCAGGCACCGGCTGCTGGGGAGGTTTATCAAGCCAATAGGTATTCAGAACTGCGAACCGATTTCATCAACAAATTGAAAGAATCGGGTGTGAAGTACAAAGCTGCTGCAGAGCAGTGGAATAATTCAGATTTGAAAAGGCAACTTTTGGCCAATGTCCCGTTGCCAGAATTGAAAAAGCGACGCTTTGTCACAAAGGATTGCACTACTAACCCCTGGGCCTGCTGAGAAAAAAAATATATCCACTAAAAAGATTTAGGTTACCTTTTTAATCAGTGGGTGTTATCAGTCACAATTCAATTGGGTTCCCAGGTGTCTGTGCAGTTTGCACTAGCTTAAGAGCGTCAAATTAGATCCAACTGCCCCACATTCTGATTTGCAGTCGATGTGGAAAAAGGTCAGCGGCTAGAGCGTGAGTCTAGAAAGACATCGGTGCTTCTCTGAAATGTTTTTCGGCATGTGTGTGAATTTTGCTTCGTTATTGCATAGCACAGCTGGCTCGGACTGGAGAATGCTGCATGTCCCACTTCACATTTACACATGTGTACGTATATATATATATATAGACACACACATATATCTATATTACGAAAATGTTCAACCAAAGACCCATAGATACATGCCACGCTTTACCCACATATGATTCAAACAAGTATTCATATATACATGCCCATATCTGTGTGTACATGCATTATACTTGCAGCTTACCGGAAAACCCACCTGATCTCGACGCCATGGTAGTTCTTGAGATGCTGCGGTGGAAAGCTCCTGCAGCTTTGATTCTTTCCATCGTCCTTCTCACTGCAAATGTGAGAATTCCCCAGCTGCAAGATGTGGAATTTGTGGAATGTTTTGCAGGGGACGGTGCCGTGAGCATGGCTCTTTGGGATGCAGGGCTGAAAGGGTCTTCCCATGATATCCGCTATTCGCGGCTCATGGATTTGTGCACTCCTCATGGATTTGCGTTTCTTGGCCTTTAGAATCCTTTAGATTTAGCATTTAAATTGATTATTTATTTTCCCAAAAGTTAGCGGGGTTAGTTTTAAGGGGAATCATGGGCCCTGAGCGCTAACTGTCAGGCTGGTGCTGAATGAGCTGTGGAATGCAAAACCTGGTTCAATATGCCTCTTCGCTATATGCTGCAATTCCTTTACACGGATGTCGCTTGGATTCTATCATAAGATATGGTCTGGATGTGAATCGTGAAAACGATATCTGATCTGGTTTCAATCCTAAGGTCATCCCATACAGCTGGCAGAGATATCTTCAACAATTTTCTGGGAAACGAGGGGTATGACTTCGTGTACACTGGAAATCTGCTCTGCAGTAGACTTTGCCTTTGTCTCATCGTATGCTTTGTACGTGGGTGCCGGTGGATAGTTGAACAACCTGAAGGATCCAGTTTGGCCAGTCACCCACGATTCCAATGGATCCTTGGAATTGGAAAAGTTGCTTGGCGAGTATCCTGCCATATTCAATTTATGTTAAGATGTGTGTGCTATGAGTGCTGTGTGCTTGCAATGTGCTCTTGCTGTGCATCTTCAAATTATGTTGACCCAGGTGTTTTCCTGTTCGTTTTGGATGGGTGCCTTCAATGGCAAAACAGCGAAGCGGCATCGCCTCTGGAGCAATGATCGAGGACTACTGGATGCAATATTCGCGCAAGGTGCCTTGATTGCATATCAGCAAGCTTATATCATATACGGGATGAAGAAAATATATGAAGATTTTGATCGGTGGGTTTCGCTTCGATATTGCAATTTACATGCAGTCTGCACTTGCGGTGCTTTTATATATTTTGAAGGTGGGCACATGACGCGGGCTGCCCTACAGTCATTACCTGGTGCCTGTGATGGCTTGGTTCGCAAATATGTGGACAAGCGTGGACAAAAGCGTCATGTGGGTGTGCCAGAGAAACTACGCAAAAGCCAGTGTCTTGATGCAAGTGTTATGTGGTCACCTGACATTTCTCACATATAATTTCTCTGAAAATCAAAATGCCAGTGCGCACTAGGTCTTACACGCCAGCTTTTGGCAAGTGCATTGCTCGATTGGCAGTTCAAGGTCTACAGGCTGGACACTGAATGTGCATTTCATATATCTATATTTATATATGATATATGTATATATTATTTGTATACACATGTAGTATTTGCAAATGTTGTGGGAACTCCGAACCCTATAGGGTCAAACCCCCGACAGCCGCAAGTCCTTAATTGCCATAGGAGCCTTTGCCACCGCCTCGCGAAGAAGTGCAGCTGGATACTACTTCTGGTGATGCGGAGCTCTTTGAAGTTCTTCTTTCCAAATGGGATTCCCCAGATTCAATATCTTGGGGACCTGTGGGATGATGTCACTTGGGCATGACTTTAAAATTTATGTCTCATGATTGTTCGATCCTTGCACATATGAAGTACATGGACAAGAATACAGCAAATATATGCAAAGATGTATGTAACACTGCCTGGATGAGGCCCAACTCCCAGCAGTGCTCCGCTATTTAGCTGGCTGCAAGTATCTTCTTCCACATGGTCGATGGGTCCGGGTCTTAATTGTGGAAGCCGTGAACATACATATAATATCATATGGCACCAACTTGAACCGGGTTGGACCGCACCATCCTGGCCTTCACTTGGCAATCCATCATCGCAGGTGGACATCCTGCGACAGCTGGACTTGAAGCACACAATGAAGTAGTTGGCAATGACTTGAACTGTCATGCTGGAAATTTGATAGTCCTATGGGCTACTTTGCAAATTAGTTTGGCCGCATCAGTGAATCTGTGTGTGGTATGCATCCTAGGGGCATGAACTAGTGCCAGTCGTGCGAAACTGACCCCATGGTGAAAAAATCCAAAAAAACTGTTACCGTGAAAATTCGTGATTTGACCGTGAAAGGAAGCCCAATGACCGTGAAAACCGTGAAAACTATAATCGTGAAATTCCAGCATGTGTGCATCAACTGTGTCATGTGTGCATGTTGCAGGTGTTTTACACCAAAGCTGGGCGTAGAGGTGAAAAAAGAGGTTGCCATGTCCCTTGCAAATTTGTCGTTTCCCATACATGAGCTGACCTGGGAGCACTACTGGGTGGTCATGGAAGAACTTGGGCTTTCTGAGACAGAAACCACGGAGGTGCTGACAAAGGTCTTGGGACCAGTTGCTTGCCTTAAATTCACCATTGCTCGTGTTCTTTCTGGCTTAGATGTGAATGCAACAGACAGTCAAGTGTATATACGGACTGTGTCACATGTATGTGACTAAGGCTGATGATGAAAACAATGATGAACAACCTATGAAGAAGCCAGCCCGCAAGACACGTGCCCGGGCATCATCAGCTAAGGGCGCTACAGTTACGAAATCCCAGCCAGCTGTCCCAAAGAAGAATGCCAAAAGGCCTTCATCGGCTAGCGGTGTCCAAGAGACAGAGCCTAAGGTGCCGAAGACGGGAAAGGCAAAAGCTGGTCCAAAACCTGCTGTGAAAACTGCCGCAAAGTCAAAGGTGAAGCCCACCATCACCAAGACACCCAAGACACAAAAAGCAACTGCAGCAGATGATCAGGCTGGGGGTGAAGGTGAACCTACTGTGCCTGCACCTGCAGTCACCCGTGTGCGAAAACCTCGGGTGTCCCAAGAGCCCTTGGAACCTGTCTTGAAGCTGCCTGACAAGAAACCTAGGGTCGAAAGTGATGTACCTGCAGCTGGCCATCATGCTCCTGCACCTGTGACTACGCCTGTACCCGTTGGTGGTTTGCCTAGCCCGGTTCAGCCTGACGAATCCCAGTCCCAACGAACAACTTGGTACCTTGGATGCAAATATGCCATATATTTATTATGCGCATTTGATTTTAATTTAACTGTCACTTGTGTGGGTTTGTGTGTGTCTGGCACTGGAAATCTTTGAATCCCTCAGGTCGTGCGGAACTTTGCAGGCCGGCTTGGAACTGCTCAAGGCCCAATGTCCTTCGAAGCCCAAAGATGTTGACTCCATCTCTGAAGCGACCACGTTGCCGAGCCTTGGCCAATATGTGTGGCTGCAACTCCATCTTGGGAACTTCATATGTCATGGCATATGGTTCAATACATGTGCCAACTCCACACCAATTTCATGGTATGGTTCAATGTGCCAACTTCATACCAATTTTTCAATCCATGATGGAAGCCCGCTATAGCAGTTTATACTGCTCACTGGTTTGCATCTTTAAGGCTGCATGTGGATATATTTCTAAGTGTCCCTTTTCGGGCCCAAAAATGCTACTTAAGGGTGGAAAACGGACACCTTATTTTAAGACACCCCTATTTGCACATTGTATTATATCCTGTGATTTTCCCACCTTATTCCCCATCCATCTTTGTATCAAAACCCAGACACACTATATATAAAACAATACATATATATATATATATATATATGTGACTGGATATATACAAATATAAATAGTATTGATATTATATATATATATATATTATCTTTTGTGTAACTTCATGTGTAAAATATCTTCAGTCATGGCTAAACCTGCCTGATCTCAGGCTTGGTGGAAGCCAAGATCAGTCAACTGAGTTGGCATTGGCGTTGGAGCGTATCAAAGCTTTGGAAGCTCAAGTGATCGCTGCAGGATCAAGCGCCAGTGAGCCTGGAACTTTACGTCGCTCTGCCCCTTTGACGCCGGCATCCTTGGATGCTGCTGAGGTGTGGTTCTGTGGTTAATTCAATGCTCATTTTTTGAGAAGCTTGATTGTTCAGCTCAGTTGGTTGCATTAATGTTCAAATTGAACCTATATGTGCGCGTAATCCCTGCATATGTGCAGGTGCCTGCGCCTGCAGTGCCACTTCTGGAAGTGGAAACTTTCTCGGAGCAGTTTCAAGATGCTCAGAGCCCGATTCCTGATACCCCTTATGAGCCAGATCAACCTGACACCATTGAGGCTACACAAGTGGATGGAGATGGAAGTGAGAAGCAGCCTTCTGAGGCTCGCAGTATCGTGGTGGAGCCGGCAGCCAAAGACATTGGGGCTGAGAGGGAGGCACTGCTCAAGAATGCCTTGCCAACACCTCCTGGTGCTGTGAGTCCTGTGGCAGTTCACGAGCCTCATGATTGGAAAAGGTCTCCTGACCCCATTGCCCATGCTGAGAAGCTTTGCGAAGAACTGACGGAAACTCAGATGAATGATCTGATGGGCAAGTACAGCAGTGTAGCCAGCTCGAAAGGCGATGTGGGCCTGATCAGACCTGATCAGCTTGATGAGGCTTCCAGGATGTCCTTCTTCGAAACCTTGGAACAGATGGTTTTGATGAATCGGAAGACACTTTCAATGGACAAGGTGGATGTCGTCAAGGTCAAGCCCTCGGCTGCACCATGTCAGGCTAGCAACCTGAAAATTGCTGCCCCGGAAGCTTCGACTGGTGGAGTCCCTGAAGCTGTGCAGGCCCCAGCGGTGCCTGAACCTTCAACTGGTGGGCTTCCTGATCCAGTGGGGTCTGTCCCGGAATGTGGAGGGTCTGGTGCAGTCCCGGAACCCGTGCAACCTTCAAGTGGTGGTGGCCCTGACCAAGCTTTGGCCGTTCCAGCCCCGACTGTAGCACCAAGCCAACATGGTGCTGCCGAAGCTGCAGCCACTGCTCCTCCTGAAGGTGGATCGATGCAAGTGGTGCCTCACTCTTCGCAGAACCGTGAGTTGGAGCTTGCTGGCCTGCAGGCACTTATGAGTGCTCAAAAAGGGAGGGAGGCAGCTCAGCTTGAGCAAGCCCAACGTCTGCAGCCTAGGGTTGCGGTGACGGCTGCAACTGAGAAGCTTGATTGGACTACGCACAAGAAAGAAGGAATGCGACTTAAAAGGCTCTTGGAGGACAGCTCTGAAGGTGCGCGATTCCCTCACATGAAGAAGCTCTTCAATGAGGGCTCCAAGGAGGACTGGGTACGGTGAACTTTAGTTTTCTCTGTATATGAGAAATATCAATCAGATAGTTGTGCATCCTGAAAGGTTTTGCCATATTCACTTTTCATATGTCTGGCCAGGATCGCCGACGGCTTCTTCGGCAGTGGGTTGAATCTGGCTGCAATCCAAATGCAGTCGAGGCCCAGGTTGTCATTGAAAGAACCCAAGCCTCGACGACTGGCAGGCACAAGGAGCTTCTCTCAGTGGGTGAAATGCAGGCAAAAGGCTTTCCTGAGTCCAAAATCCGCTCCATCATTGCCCGGGGTGGGGGCATACCGGACCCCGACTGCCCTGAGCTTGCAGAGTGCACAAAGTTTTGGGTGGTGACAAGCCAGAGCCACTTGGAAGAAGAGGTGCACAGCCAGAAAGCTTCAATGTCAATGGCGGCCAATGCAGATGCTGACTTTGCAGATGGCCTTTATGGCTCCCAGATGGCTTCAGGGCCGGGACGAGCCACTATTGGAGCTGAAGCGCTGAACCAGCTCATGACACCCAGTGGACAAGCTGGCAATGCAGGACATTGTATTTTTTCCGACCTCCTTTCCATCAACAACTCATGACTTGTGCATAGACTGATTCTGCCTATGTATCTATACAATTCTATACATATAATTAGGTATATGTGTTGAAGGTGTGCTTTTAATTCCCCGTAGTTACATTGTTATATATATATGTATTTATTTATATTTATATGCACCTACGTTACTCACACTCCTATAAATACAAATCACATTTGATAATGTATATATATATATACTGATAATACAATAAAACCTATCATATATATAATATACATATATAAATACCCCCGTTTACGCCTATCTCTCCAGGAACGCTGCACATCCCGAAGGCCAAGGCGAAAGCAAAAGGAAAGGCGAAGGCGAAAGCGAAGAGCGCCGCAACGCCTGCTGGCGTGACAGAGGAGGTCCCAAAGACCATGGAGATCGTTGTTTCGGAGGTTTGCACCTTGAATGCAACTGATGAATTGTTTTGCTTATTTTTTTCAATACATGAACGGATATGGCCCATACATTATATTATGGTTCTAATGGATTAGACCCCAAATTTCACACAATTGGATTCAAATCTTATTGGGTTCAAATCTTATTGATTTCACAGTCCAAGTCTTAAGGGTTGCATTACTGAGGTGGTGCGCTGAAGAAAGAGCTTCGTCAAATTGCTGACATAGCCTTGGAATTGCCCCAGGGAAATGCTATCCGGACAACGCTGGTGAAGTACAAAGTTCGATTTGAGGAGCTACTGGAAGAGACCCTTGGCTATTCACATGTTCATGGCTTGTTCATCTCACAATTGGTTTCGCTGATTAAGTTGCGTTGCCTTCCTTTACATATGGCATGCATGTTGCCACTCTTGAGGATCAAAGGATGCAAGGATATGGCCAATTGCGAGGACATCAAGAAGGAATGGAACGACGAGGCATTCTGGACTTATCTGGACTTATTGGACTGCAGGACTCGTCATGGAGCAGTTTAAATATATATATATATATCTGAGCCGATCTTGCGAATATACATATATATATATATACATACATGTATATTTACAATCATATACAGTCAAGACATGTAAATACTTGTATATACATAAATTATATATATAAATGCCATTGTATGCATCTCTTGTCAGAATTTTTATCCAAATACTATTGCCAACCCGCTGCAGGTTCAAGAGTGCCGCCTCGTGAAAGCCCAAGCGAAAGCAATTCTCGTTGAGCTCAAGAAGATGCGAGCCTGAGCAGTAGAACAACAGAGGGCCAATCGTGCCCAAAAATTTTGCTGGGTATGTGCAAAGATTCTCCATGACTTTAATTTTGGGAGAAGTTGCAATGGGGAGTGGCTACATGGCTAATATACGTGCCTTAAGCCTTGTTGGGCCATGATGCCAATTGCCTTGCAATTAAAATTGTCCATTCCAAAACACGATTACATTTTTTGACTTCAATTGGCCCGGCAGGGAGGCTGTATATAGCTAAGCCGATGGTAGGTCTGCAATCGAGGAGGCAGCCAACTTGTGTGAACCTGCAGGTCATGCCTCTTGCAGTGAAACTTCAAACACCATGTACTGCAACTAAATATTAATATCTCAATAAATTTTTGGGGGGATGCTCACATATATATATATATTTATTTTTTCATGGTTAATTCCCAGGAGGCATGACACTGGCTTGAAAAGCCAACATGACGGATGGATTAAATCTACATCAGGATATGGTCGCATCGGAAAAACAATGCTACAAGATGGATTGTTCACTCCTGTCCTGCATCTCCTTTTGGCCCTCTTTGCTCCCAGACCATTCGGCGCAGGTGCTTCATCTTCTCGTCGCGGCATCGACATTGAGAACCTCGAGCGGCTGTTTCTTGGATCTTCGCTCAGGGCCTTTATTTGTGTTATTAACCCCTCAATACAAATATAGATGGAATTTGGTTCCCAGAATGTAAGTGAATTAGTCACTGGGATTCCTATAGTTTCCCATAGTTTCCCCTTTTAGTCACAGCATTGCCTATATATTATATATAGTTCCGATTTTTTCCTGGGGTGGCCTATGATTAAATTGTATGGCTCGATATTTAAGCTTGCATACATTGGTATATAATTATATATTATATATATCTATTTTGATAAGTGGGCAACCTTGCATGCAGGTTGGCTATGGGGGTTGGAGCTGGCAACTCGACTACAACCCATGCCAGGGAAGTTGGGCAGCTTCTGCATTCTGATGTCTTCAAGAAGTGCCTTGTCCGAAATGCCACAACTCTTGAATCTTTCATGATGGCACCGTTTCCACAAGTTGTTCTTTGGGAAACAGAATGCATCAATTTACAACCTCTTTTAGCAGCCTTGCAAAACCACCAAGTCCTGCGGACTCCAACGAGATGTCCCTTCACAATGCTGCCCGAAAAGTTGGGCTGACCTTCGATTGCAAGATTACCTACTTGGAAATCCCTATCTGTACTGGCTACGATGATGATGGATTACCGATTGTGGAGATGAAAGGGTGGCCTTTTCTACTTCCAAGCGACATGGAACCTTGGGTATATTCTATTTTTTTTGCTTACCCCCTTGCTTACCACTTTTTCATCACCAAAAAAAAATATATATACATATATATGAATTCCTTCACTTGCATTGGCCGGGTTCCAAAAATGCCATTGAATCTCCCTCCTTGTTTCTTGGCAGCGCCACCTTGTGTCTCAGGCCCAAGCACTCGTGGATGAAGGGTACATGGAAGCGCTTGTGGACCTGGAGAAAATTGGGTGGTACTGGCGAAACATGCTGCTTGACTACCCGGGGCATCCTGCATCTTTGGACCCTCAGCATTCAGTTCCAATTACCCTGTATGGCACCTCAGCTGAATCCAAGAAAAACTCGCAAACCATTTGAATGAGGTTACCTTAAGAAACATGTATAGTATAGGTACGATTTTGATCCAAATGTATATATATATATAAATTTGTAATATATATATATGTGGATATTTATAAATGTATATATATATATAATATATATTATCTTATATATATTTTTTAATATCCGTCTTTCGATTCTTAAGGGATGCACTGGGATCGACCCAGGCGATGAAGGAAATGCATTGGGTGGTAGTTACATGGTGTTCCACTGGCAATGCGATCTGGCACCCTTTCTATCAGACAGTGGTTCCAGCCGATACCTAATCACTACGGTTCCAACAACAGCTTATGTGTACGATCATGATGTCAACATCACCCTGCAATCTGTGGCACAGCATATTTGCAGATCTCTGGTTGGCTTACGGATTTCCATTCCGATGACTGGCATTGATCGTGATCCTTGGCAAATATTGGTATGTATGATTTTTTTACATGTCGCCCACCACTGCTTTTCCCAAAACCAGCCTCTAATCCAAAGACTGCATGCGACCCATAGCCATGGCGTCCAATGCAAGCAAGGAATCTATGGCTGTCTATGTGATGGGGTTCAAGGGTGACTGGAAGTATCTCTGCCAGTTGTTCAACTTGGTTCGCAATCCGAGTTCGGAACAGGCCCGGTGATATAAAGACTATAGATCTATTTAAGATTTGGTGGATATTCATCTCAAATCAATATAACTGTAAAAATTATCCCAAAGATCTTGACAACTGAATCTATCCATCAAATGTCCTTTGAAGTTGGAGGAATATTGGGGGTATATATGGAAACTACCATAGATAATCTTTGCGTGTCCTTCGAACCCTGCAGGTCTGTTGGAGGTGCTTGGCTACAAAGGGCACTGGTGACTTAGCCTACTGCTATACGAATGTCGCTGACGATGCGAGTTGGCGGGCTACGGAGTGGACAACGGACCCCTGGACGGAGCAACCTGCATTTGCTACGCTACCGGGTTTCAGTTTGAAGATGTTAAATGTGGATTTGCTGCACGTGTGGCACTTAGGTGTGGCACGAGACATGACGGCGTCGGTCTTGAGAGTCCTAGCTAAGGCCAAGCAGTTCCGTCCACATGGGACCATTAAGGATCAATTGGCTGCAGCATCAAGCTCCCTCAGAAACTTTGCAAAGGCGGAAGGGCTATCCCTACATCTTCGTAAATTGTCTCCACAGAACTTGAACTGGAGATCCAATGCCTACCCTGAGACTCATTGCAAAGGGTATGATTCCTTTGTGATGATTGCCTGGTTGGCATGGTACCTCAGTGATGCTGATGATGTAGATCCGCGTATCCGAACTTTAGTGTGGGCTGCAGATTCCCTGATGGATGTCTGGCACCATGGTGGCATGTTCTTGACCGACAATGAAGTACAACATGTGCAAATTGTTGGGGGGCTCTTCATCAGGTGCTACTTGGAGCTTGCGCAGGAGGCTGTGAGCAGCAGGACGCGTCTGTGGAGAATTCGCCCTAAGTTTCATCTCTTGGTGCATCTCCAGTCGGAGGTCCGTGCATCCAGATACAATGCTACGTTTGGTTCGACATGGATGGATGAAGACGCTGTGAAAAGATTCATGAAGATCAAGAAGAAAGTCCACCGATTGCAAGCGCCCGATAGGGTCATTCGGCGGTGGTTGCTGAATCTACGCGACAAGATGGACAATGTGTTGGATAGAAAAATTATGGTCAGAGATATCGGCGTCGCGTTGGGCGGGTGGCGGTGCTGATCTGGTTGTGGGGCTTGAACCCTTTTAGATACATAACCCCCGAATGCAACTTTAACTATATAATATATAGAAGTATTACTGGTAACCCACCTAGACTGGATACGGCAGGGACGGGAAGGGTCACCACCAGTGCAATTACAATGCTGTAGCCCGAAATGGTGTTAGTTTATATAAACTCTTTTGGGCATGTATAGTTATAATTGTACAAATCGCCAAACCACCCACATGCAGCATAACCGAAATTTTTGATGAAGTGGGAACTGTTATAATTTGTCAGGTGCGGACGATTATACAATGCTAAAAGAAGTTTTTAATGTAACACCTATATGGATTGTGCCCCCTAACAGGCATACCGGTCTGCAATTGTGCCCCCCTCTCTCGAGACTTAGGATGTATAATTAGGAGAGAGAGCTATATATATATATGTATACAGTATTACATATATACAATATTATGTATATTAAATTATATATCAGTAGTACCGCACAAGGCGGTGGCGGAAGTTTCAAAAATAGGAAACCTATAGGAGAGCTTGGTTGTTGTGAATCAGGGATGGCAGAGCGAAGCCACTGATGGACCGAAAGGTGCTTGAGGTCTATACATATGCTGTGTGTAAAAGCTTTTGGCAAACCATGCTGTGCCATGAATCCCCTGTACCCAGATGCATCACTGGCCATGGCCCAAGGAGAAAATACTGCCATGGACTGCTGCCTGCATGAGCTGGCACTGTAATTTGACCATTCTAGCTCCACTCCCTCTGGACCAGCCAAGGTCATGAGCGTGAAAAATCGTGAAAATTGGCTAAAACGGGATTTGAACCACTAAGGATCCTTAGATGATCGAATAAGGTCATGTACCACCCTTAGTTGCACGAACCCTGGTCTAGGCTGCTTTGTGGTACTTTTCGACATGCGTGAGCAAGGAGGACCTCCTGCTGAACGATCGGAAGGGGCACAGGATGCACTTGTAAGTTGCCTCTGAGGCGTCCGGGTTGGAGCAGCCGGCTTGATTTTTGAGACCTGGGCACGGGCAGGTCTTAGCGCCAAGGTCACGCTGAAAGTCAGTTGGCTCAGTTGCGCTAGAAGTGTGTTTGTTGCGCTGTCCAAACATGTGTGCACATGTCAGCCAGCAAGGCACACCCCTGTTCCCATGCAATAGAAAGCCAAAAAAACACATCACGTTTCATTCGTCCCGCTCGCACTTGGGCGGCGATCACTGACTGAGGCCCAGACGGGTAATCTCTTGCAATACTTCTCTTTCCATGCAGGCGCGAACTTGTGGCGCCACGGAGCTCCAGCCCTCCTCGGCCTCCATTCCTGCTTTCAGTTGGACTTCCAGGCAAGTCGAAGGTGCTTCCTTTCTCCTCCTCTTGGCCGCGCGATCGTCTGCGGAGAGCACATTGACTTGGAAAACCTGCGTCCCGTGAGCTTTCGACAAGTGCTTCCACAACTTTTTTGCAGTTGGTTTGGATGCATTCTTCCTCGGCGGAGCTGTAAATGTGAGCAGCTTCCTGGACCAGCTTCAGTCCGTATGCATGGCCACAATCCTTGGCTGATGAGCTCGATGCATTTAGCAAGAAACACATTCCATCGCCGCACTGCTCTGCTTGAGACAAGGACACAGGCTCTATGGAAAATTGAGGACAAAGCTGCATCATGTGCTGGTAGGACATAGGCTCTGGCAAGTTGGATGTTGCGGCCTTCAAAGGGTCAGCCTCCTCGGGGAACAAATTCAAGAGAGCAGTGCCGATACAGGAGTAACACCCAGGAATGTGATGGATCGCGCCCATCCTGATCCCAGCATTGTTTTCCAAAATGGATTCCAGGATTTGCTGCACTGTGAGCATGGGCGGGCTTCTGTCCAGTGGTTTGACCTGCATCATGATTCCAGTCTGACTGTGGAAATCTTCCAGCAAAGCCTGTTCACTTGCTGCTGAATCTACTTCTTCACCTGGCATGCTCAGATTCGCTTGCGGGACAGCAAGCACTGCGTCAAAGACTGGTGCAACTAGAGCGAAGCCATGTTTGGGCAGGAGGCCGCAGAACAGCTGCATTGCTTTGTGTTCCTTGTCAAAAAGCAAGAAAGCCATGGCGGAAGTTTCGGGCCGCGGGCGCTTTGCTGCTTTCACGTCTTGAACTACCGAGGGGAATTTTTGACAAAGCACCTCCCGCAACTTCATGGCATCTGCAGCGAGGCCCTCCAACAAGGGACAGGCCACAGGTGAACCGCTCGCGCGAGATGGAAATGCAAAGCCAAAAGAGGCCATGAGGAGCGCCTTTTTGGCATCATGCTCTGAGAAGGAGAACCAAGACATCACCACTTGGCGCCATTCAGCTTTGAAAGCGTGATACCGCCGAAAGCACGGCAAGTCCATGGCATACTCTTCAGCGAACTTGAGGGCAAAGTGGATCACAGCATTGGGCATGTCGAACTCCTTTGTCCCCAGTGGGCTGCCGTAGCTTCTGGCGGAACGAGATAGGGTTGGAAAGCTCACCCATGGAAAGAAGACACGTCCGAGCGATTCACCTGCCACTTGTTTTTGATGCCCTGTAGTCTTCACAGTGACCAAGTCTCCGACGGTCTCGTTGTCTCTTTCACAAATCTCTGCAACTTGTCGGGCGTGCAAACCCTTCTCTCCAAGTGTGGATGCAGCATACTGCTTCAATCCTTCAAGGTTGATGTTGCAAGAGATGGTCCAAGAGTCACCACGAGGAAGGCCAGTGGGGTCATCCATGGTGTCTGCCAGTGAAGCTTCTGCAGCTTGTGGCCAAGACCAATCTTGCCAAGTACCAGCAATTTCTTCAACCCGAGCTTCACCTAAGCATGTTTGGAGGCAAGTCTGCCAGGCGTCAACATTCAAACATCGACGTTCGAAGCGGTCCAACGCATTCCCAGCACGGACTTGGCCATCAACGGACCGAATGAGATGGGGGAACTCGAGGATGGACTCCTTGAGGTACTCTACTCTGAGTTTCTTCCCCGGCTTCTTTGGCGGAGCTGAACCTGGATTGGAAGGGGCCAAAAGGCGATCGACTTCCTTGGCAGAGAAAAACTGAGTGGTGACAGCCGCATGGGTCTCACGAATGATCCGTTCGGAGCGGCTTTGCACTACCGGAATTTCTGGATGTGCAGGTCCTTGTCCTTCATCGGGATTTGGGCGCTCGCTGCAGCGGCTCATCTTTTGGAGGAGCCAATGCGTGTCCTTGTACAAAGTGGTCTCGGGCATGAGGTACTGCAAGTTGTCACTGCACTTTTGCAGACCATTGGAGCGAAGATGTGGAAAAAGAAAATCCTGAAAGAAGCACCAAACAGCGGCGCCAGAGGCCATGAACTCTTTGGCACTGGGATCTGCTTGGAAGACTTTGTTGGCAACATCAACTTCATCTTGGATGGCCGTGAACTTGGACCGCATGTAGGTGCAGCGGAAGCGCCTTTGGTGCGAGACTTCTTCTGCAGTGGGCACCCGCGGGATATCTCCGACATTCATAGCCCACACCTTGGCGGAATGTGCCCAGTGTCCGTATTTGGTTTCTGCTTCATGGTTTCTCCGCAATGGTAGCCAACCCCCACCCACGAACACTTTCACGGTATCCTCCATGATTCCCTGATCTCTTTTGCATTCATCGAAAGTCAGGAAAGATGAATGGATGAAGTTGACGCCCTGGACCTGAAATTCACGGTCCGCTTGCAGCATACTGCACGGGGCGCAGCTGAAAGCGCTGCCAAACACAGCTTGCATGTGGTCGACAAATATCAAAGTCTTCACATCATGTCCACAGCCCACAACGATGTGGAGCACATCTGGCTGCCTCACCCGGGCCACCACGAGGGCACATTGATTGAGTAAGACTTGAAGGCCAGCCGAGCCTGCAAAGGAAGACAAGAGAATGCTGGCATAGCGTCGACGTGTGTCCATGGAAGGTGTCTGCGAGATGGACGTGGGGATGGCAACGTAGCATCCATGCCGCGCATCCTTCTGCAGTTGCTGCGGTTGTCCATCCACAGTAGAAATGAAAGCATCTTGGAAGCATAGCCCGGGCTGCTGTTTGCTGCGGATTTCTTCATCGCCCCAACGTTGAAAACATTTGACGATAGTCCTCGTGTTGTACCCACACAGTGAAGAGTATGTTTCCATGAACAGTCTCAAAACCACACTTGGGCAATGAATGCTGGAGACCGTACATAGGAATGGCGCTGAAACCGGTGTGGTTTCGTTTGACTATCGTGCTGGCACGTTAGCATGGAGCATGGTAGTTTGAATTCAAACCCGTAACCCGGAGTCAGTCTGTGGGACGTTTCCTGTCCTGGAGTGCTCGTCAAACTGATGCCGCAAATGGCGGCACAACTCGGACAAACCATACAGCCACTCTCTGGCCTTGACTTCGGCCTTTCGGGGCAGGATGTCTTGAAGTTGCCACTGTAGCAGTACGTCCTCCAGACCCACTTGCTGGATAGCTTTGATCTCGAACACGATGTCTTCGTAGGTCCTTTTGGGCTTCATCTGGGCCATGACGGCAAAGTATGCTTGAGATCTGCGCAGGGCTTGGAGGATGAACTCGAGGTTGACTGAGGAAAGCCCTTGGGAAGCAGGGGCCCATGCACCATTGCAATACTCAAAGAGCTGTCCTCCGTGACTGCGATAGAGTTCGCCGGCCACCAGAGCGAAGACCTTGCATTGCAACAGCTCAGACTTGCCATCATCGGGGCTCGTCGCCAACAATCTCGGCACCAGGCACTGCAAAGAACGTGGAAATGCGGTTAACACACTTGAAGCAAACCATTTTTGTATAGGATTGAATGTTGACTTTGGAAACGGTTATAGAAGGTCTAGCTTCCGGCTAGGTGGGAAGCGCTAGCAGGTAAGGATTGGAGGAAAGAATTTGCAGGGCACTGGGTGGAGCGGGGCTTGGGGGGGTTTCCAACCCAGCTACATTGAACAGATATTTCTGAGTAAATAGCCTTGCAAACGTTCACTGAAACACATGTCAAGACGCCATGTA